AATCAAGTTAAATCCCAACAGCCAATCAGCAAGAAGTATAGAGGAAAGCTGCATGCCTATTGGTTGATGCCCTGCATTCCATTGTGATGACTCATGCCCAGACGTGGTAAACACGGCAGACTAACACAGTAATACATTTGCTATAACACAGCTGAATCCATTTAAAAAATGGCAGGAGAAGAAGAAGAAGAAGAAGAAGAAGGAGAAGAAACACCAGAAAAAGCAATATGGGTTCACCACCACTTCGTGGTGTGGTGAACCCATAACTAGACAGACTACAGACAATCCAAAACCGAGCTGCTATATATAAAGGCTAGCTGCACAACATGTTCACATGAATTTAATACATGCAAAACTGAACTGGCCATCGGTGAAAGGATGTATGAAACTACAATATGCGCTTTTCACAAGTTAGCAACCACCAAAAAAAAAAACGAGTATATATATGGCAACCTAAGAACCGTAAACAATGCACATCGCCACGTTAGTGGGCTGGCATTATTTTGTTTATTTCTTTTGTTTGTGTATTCTGTTGTACTTTTGGATCCGTGGTATATGTGTTTCTTTTGTGTTATTGTTGGTCTTTTTTTGTAAATGAGCAATAAAAAAATTTTTAAAAAAACAATGCACATCGCCACAACACTATAGACTTTCTCAGAGAGGAGGCTATGTACAACCGAAACCGGCTATGCTGATACAGATATACAGATTTTTATATTACCATTTATATTCCTGTCTACAGACATTTGAAGTTTGAAGTTCTTCAATACTTTGGAGACTGAAGCGCTTTTTATATGGATTAATTGCTGTTTAAATGGATATAGTAATATGCCTTTTGACAGCTTCTCGAGTTATACTGTTGACATACTGACCCACACCACAGCCACTCCACCATACCCAAACCTAAAACCCTTCTGGCGAATGCTATGATTTCTCAATGGACATTTTTAAAGAAAAAAGTCAAGCCTTATATCGTACGAGTTTCTCATGTCTCTTGTAGAAGAAAAGTCTTGTTGAAGTGACGTTTCCCTGTACAAATGACTAGGCGACGCGTACACTGAACCGGAAGTAGAAAGCGATCAGAGCGATACCCGACTGTCAGTCACAATTAGCAGTTCACCCAATGACAGCATGGCAATTAACAGTTCGACCAATGAGTGAGCGTGGCTGGACCGGAGGTGTGTACGGGTCAACCTGTCGAACAGGTTGGGCAACATTATTACACAGACAACATTCTGCACTTCTGTGCAGGCAGACAACGTTGTGACCTATATCTGCAACGGCAAGGATCTAACAAGACTGCTGTTTGGNGGTACATTATCGGACTGTACGTGAG